TTGCCGGCTGCGATAAGTCCGGCGACGGCCTGCCGGTTCATTTCGGTCCGGTTCTCTTCCATTCTCAGCCGCCGCTCCTCTAGCTCCATCAAATCTCTGTGCCGTCTCTCCTTCCTCTCCTCACACGCCATTAACGTCCGAGCAAGCTCCGCTGCGCCACGCACCACGCTCGATCCCAGTCCCCGCCTCCGCTTCCCCCCCCCCCCGCCGGCGGCGGCGGCGGCGACGGACTACCGTCGCCATCTCCCCCGCTCCCTTCCGTCTCCGACGAACCCTCCGGCGTCATTTCTCCTGATTCACAACATCAAATCAAACCCATCAGCTCAAAAGGTCACTTTTTGAAAACCTTTTCCACAGCTTTCTCTTATAAAAATCGGAGCTTTATGCTAAACAATAATAATAAATGCAGCAAGAATCAAAAATCGCAGCTTTGGATGCTCTGAAAGGATGGTCAAAGCAATCGGTGTTAAAAAAAAAATCGATACGCGTATCGTTCGAAAGATCCCGTTTTTCATTCCTATTTCAATGTATCTCTGATGCAACTGAATAAATGCCATTGTAACAGTTTGTATTATATTAATTGACATCGCGTGATGCGCGCGTGCAATGTCTGTATCTATCGTACCGGAAACGGACGCCTGTTGCGGCGGCGGCGGAGGTGGAGGCAGAGGAGGTGGTAGAGGAAGAGGACGAGAATGAGGGGCGGAGGGGGGAGAGAGGGGGGGGCGGCGGCGGGGCTGCTGCCTCCGCGGCGGAGAGTGGCACGGCGGCTGAGGACGTCGGTGAGGGCTTCGTAAACTTCGAAGGCGAGATTGGTCGGGAGGTTGCGTTCCTTGCGCTCGTGCCGCTCGAGGGACCAATAGGAGCTGGGCGCGGCGGCGGCGGAGGAGGTAGCAGCACGGGACTCGTAGTCGCGGACCTTCTTGTAGTCGCGCAGGAGGTTGTCCCATTTATCGTTGCACTGATTTTGACTGCGAAGGCAGCCATGTTTCCAGCAATAGTTCTCGACCCACTTCCAGCGCTGTTCGGCGGAGCGGGGGGCGGCGGAGGGTTCTTCGGAAGAGGTTGTGGCGCCGCTTCGGGTGCGTCGGTCGTCATCGAGGCGTTTTGCGGTGATGAGAATGAGGGTTTCGTGGACGGTCCAGTTTCCTTTACGGTACTCGCGGGGGAGAACGGTGGAAGAGGGAGAGGGGGCGGAGAGGCCGCCGGAGGCGGCGGCGGCTGAAGATAGAGGAAGAAGAGGTTGGTGGTGGTGGTGGTCGAGGATGTTTAGGGGGGTTCGAGTGAGAGGGGGGTCGGAAGACATGGTTTGCAGGGCATTTGTGGGATTAGAGAAAGAAGAAACGTGGGTGGAGGGGTGGTGGACGGAGTTATAGTTGGGCACTGGTCCTCTGTTTTGTTTTGTTTTTTTTTATGTTTTATTTCGGAGAGCTTTCTCGACCTGGCCTTTGGGATTCTAGGATATTTAGGGTCGTCAAAGTGGCTGGTTGTTGTTTGTTTTTGAATATTTTAATATAAATAATATGATTTAAATTTTTGCTTATCTTTAACATTCTAGGGATGTGTGAATATGATTGTCAAAATGACTTATTACTCCTGAATAGCTCGTGCTTAGCTTGATAAGCAAATGAGTCAAATACAAAGTTAAGCTCGACATATAAATGAGCCAATTACGAAAAAAATGATATTGTTTAACAAGTCGAATACAGCTCGCTCAAGCTCAGCTCATTTGCATCCCTAATGGTTGTTTGATTAGAGTTGTCAAAACGGTTCTTTGTTCATGAATTGCTAATGTTCGGCCCGCTAAGCAAAAGAGTCGAACACTAACAATTTTTGTTGTTCGAAATATAAATGAGTCGAATATGAATAGTGATATTTTTTTATGAGTCAAATACAAGCTAAGCTTGGGCTCATTTGCACCTTTAATGATATTATAAGAAGAAAAAATATTAATTTGTATGTGTACTCTAAGAATTTTAGTTTATAATTTAGTATAAAAAATTATTAAATTTAAATTGTTATTTTTTAATTGATATATTATTAATATATTGAAAAGAGATATATGAAGAAGTTTTTTTCATAAATAATATTACATGTTAATTGTTGAGACATTTTTAGAATTAGGGACCAATAATGTTTGTAAGTATATACAGCCTCGTAAAGATCTTGTATCTCACGAAGAAAAAAAGAGAGATAGATGGATGCAGGTCCTGAACGAAACCTTGAAGAATGTATTGAATTGTTATCTTCGATGAGCTTCAAAAATCGGGCCCGTCGTTGCTTGAGTTTCAAGATTTAAAGAGAGAGGGCTAGACATTCTCCTGAAACAAGAAAAAACCCTCATCCTCAATCTCTTTTTCGTTTCTTCTTTTATGCACAAGGGAGAAAAGTAATAAAAATAATAAATGAGTGACCTTTCATGTTGTATGGTGCCCTTCTTCTGTGACTTGCTGAAAATACTGTGATGTGAGTGTCAAGTGATATTGGTACGACACCCATCTTTGGTGCTAGACAAAAAACTGAATTACAAATGTCGGGTGGTGCTTTAATAATTGATTGACAAATATCTTTTCTCTGATAGTTTCCCCGTATGAGTGGCTTAGACTATACTTTCAAAAGGAATGGATATAGCCATTTTGGTAAGCATGATCAATTCAACCACTTCGGCAAGTGAGCTTGATTCAGCCACTTCAGTAGGTGGGCTCGGTTTAGTCACTTCGACTAGTGGGTTAGATTCAGCCACTTTAGGAGGTGAGCTCGATTCAGCCACTTTGACAAATGCGCTCGATCAGACCACTTGGACAAGTGGGCTCGATTCAGAAAAATAAGTAAAAAAAATATGTATAATTGTATTTGTGTATACATTAATGAAGATAAAGTGAGAATTTTAAATCTTCTTTTTTTCTTAAATGATACCTAAGGAATAGAATGTGTGGAAGGAGAAAGAGAGAATATTATGGGTCTATTTGGGGTTGTTATAGTTTTTCTTAAAAAAAGGTGGTTGTAAAACTATGGTGGAGGAAAAAACTTCTTAGAAAACTGCAATAATTATTATAAATATTTATTTATTTTTTTCAAAAAAAAATTTAACATCTACTTTCTTATAGTCACTGCACTTTAACTAGCCAGGTTGAAAAAAATAGCTTCATACCACAATTTTTTTTAGAAAGAAGTTCCACAAACATAGTTGTGGTGACATTTGAAATGCAAGCAAATAAAAAGTTCTCAAAAAACTCTAAGAAAACTCTGCTATTGTGAAATTAAACAAGATCCCACTAGAAGGGGAACATGATTCTTTTTTATTTACTCCCCCCTTGTTAAAGTCTTTCTTTTACATAAAATTAAAAAATGTTATCATTATGCCTAAAATTCTAAAAATATCTAATTGTCTGTCTAATCACATCATCATTTAATTCAAAATACTCACTGACATTTTCTACCTCAAGTCAAATAGTTGTGTGAAAAATGGATTGTAAATCATCAACATTTATTTTCATGTCTTTGGAATTATTATTTTGGCATTCATACTCCATATGCTCGTACTCAATCATTCGTACCCAGCAACTCATACTCGGCTGCTCAAACTCAACTAGCAGATATCTTAGTTGGCAAAGCTAGACCACTTATATCATTATTGCAATAGGTTGAGACCCATTTAGAAAGATTCTTGTTCCATTAGTTTGTCTTAGTATTTTTTGATTGTACAAAGAAATTAATGTGATGTGGCTTGAGATTCAATCTCTTGGTTTAAAATGTGAAAGAATGTTATTAAAATGATTCAAGAGTTTTTAAGAATCTCTCGTGAAACACTTGCTCCAACATGGATTGTTCTTATTACCATAAGTTAATCTTATGGTTTGATTTTATATAGCATATGTCTACTCGAAATCATAGATTATCATTTTATGGTAATGGGACTTGCATATTCTTGGATAGGAGTGTCAGAGGTCATGAGAAGCATGATTTGAACATCACATTGCTACATTATTCACTCAAAGTGGTAAGTTATAGTTTGACCCAATTGATCAAGACTTATGCTTAGGAATCTCTATAACATAAAGGATAGCCCATATTTGGGAAAGTTATTGTTCCTATATCATCCTAGAACTCTTACTTGATATAAAATATAACATGCTCTTCATATCTATGTCCTTTAGTCTATATTGATCATTTCATATCACCATGTGACGAGGATGGGATTTCCTTTAGCTCGTTATATGCATAGCCTTCTAGAAGATTGGATCATATCCCAACCCCTTAGGCTCTTTTATACAACAACAAAAACAATCCCTTATCCCACTAAGTCGGGTTGGCTGCATGAATTTTTTTTCTCCATTGCGTTCTATTAAGTGTCATATTTTTATTTAGTTCTAATAAATTAGGATTATTTCTTATACAATATGCCCAAGTCATTTTAGGCTTACCACTGCCCTTCTTAACATAAGTTGAATCTAAAACATTTACTCTCCTAATCGGATCATCATATGATCCACATTTAATGTGAGCAAACCATTTAAGACGACCTCTCTAATCTTGTCTGTCTTTGGAGCTACACCAACCCCATCACGAATGTATTCATTTCGCTTTTTTGTCTCTAAGTATTAAGCCACTCATGATCTACCTATGCATTCTCATCACCGTAACACATAACTTTGTTTTATGCTTCTTTTTAAAGGCCAACATTCTATGCGATAGAGCATTGCATGTCTCACCATCATCTTATAAAATTTTCCTTTCAGTCTAAGAGGTACTTTTCTATCACACAATGGGCCCGAAGCATTTCTCCACTTCAACCAACCAACTTGAATTCTACTAATAACATCCTCATCTATATCACCATCACTTTGAAGAATAGACCCAATATATCTAAAACGTTCACACCTTTTAATGATTTGATCACCCATAGTTACAACTCTGTCACTAAAGCTATTACTACTAAAAATACATTCCATATATATAATTTTAAATTTACTCAAAAGAAGGCCTTTAGACTCCAATGTATACCTTCATAATTCAAGTTTTTTTTTTTTTTTTTTTTTGTACTCTTTCTCTAGTCTCTTATCCACAAGAAGAATATCATCAATGAAAAGCATACACTAAGGTATACTCTTCTGTAAACATTCATAAATTTTAATGATTCGATCCCTTCAGCCCTTTTATGCTTAAGTGAATTTTCATTGCTAGGGCAATTCTTAATTCAAATATATCATTTCTTTTTAAAATCATCATTTGTTTTTTAAGTGGATATATCTGCCCATGATAAATCATTTCATATGTTTAGTCAGTCCCATAAATAGTCTATACATCATATCCTCGTATATGAAAGAATTAATCTTACATGATTGCTCAACTTTATTAGCATGACTATATTTATCTAATTTTATATTTGTATGAGCTATATCCACTTGCATATACAACAACAATCAATCAAAATACTTAAAGAAACTAATTATACACGTTTTTTAGGATTTTGAATTTAAATAATCATATAATTCATAGGAACTATTTGTAAATACTTCCAACTCAAGTTCTAAACCATTTCAATGAATAAAAGTAAATATTTTTTTCTTAAGTAGGTGCTAAAAAAAGTTTTTAAAGGTTTTAGGAGATATAAAGCTCTTGCAACATCAAATTTACACTTCAACCATTAAATTTTGTCAAATATAGATGAGAGAATATAAATAATTGAAACAATAAAAATTGAAAGTTTGTAAGAAAAAAATATTATTAAATTTACTTCTGATACGCCACCAACAAATTTTCATCATCCGACATGAATCTTGAGGCAATATTTTGAGCAAAGAATATTCAAATCTTGATAAAAAGTCATTCAAAGCTCCGATTTCAATAAATTTATAGTCAAACTGACAGGCTCGATGAGTAGGCCGGAAAGTTAGCGAACGGACAGGTTGTAATGTGATATGAGTTTGGATTCTGTGGGACTTAAACTTCGAGCAAAATTTTATTGAAAGAGCCCATTGCAAAAGTAAACTCCACGTGGCGTGATTCAGCCATGCCACGTGGACCGACACTAGATGTGCACTGGGCGTGAAGGGTTCGGAATTATGTCTAATTATTGAGTGCGGAGAGCCCACGCAGAGCTGTGTGCGCTCTCTACGATCACAGACGCGCATCGCGGCTGTATGAAAGTGGGCTGCGATGCACAGCTATGATCGGAAAACACACGTAGCTCTGCGTGCTCTTTCCGCACACAATAATCACTCCGGAATTATATTTCATGTTCTTTCGTGTGTGTGTGTGTGTGTGTGTGTGTGTGTGTGTGTGTGTGTGTGTGTGTGTGTGTGTGTGTGTTTATCTAAAATCCTATAATTTTAATTTATTTTTAGGGATATGGTTTAGATTGAACAGTTTCAAACGAGTTCCAAAGATTTATCAAAATTGTACTATAATTCTATCCCTGAT